AAAAGCATTGGTAAACCCACTTTCTGGTTGAATCTGTGCCTTGGACCAGTTGCTGTACCCTGGGAAAGTCATTGGTCCTCTCTCTAATAAATGAGAGTATTAATTAAGTATCAGTATCTGGGCCCCTTCTGGCTCTGAAAGGCCCAGATACTGATAATAGGAAATGTCATCGAAGAAACATTTATTAAACACCTCTCATGGGCAGAGGCCTCCAATGGCCCTGTACAGGAACCCCCCACCTCAAGGTGGTGATGTTCTAATGGCAGTGGTGGACTTGGATGCCCAGAACATAGTGCTAGGTAGAATTGGGAAGTTCTATGGGGCACACAGAAAGGTGGAAGCACAGAGGATGATCGTGTGACCTAGGCATGAGATAGAAAGGAAATTTGTTGAGAGCTGCAGTAGTGGTTAGTTGACTACTCAGGAATCCAAGTCAGATCATCCCACCCAATAGCAACTCTCCAGATAGCAGAACTATCCTGTGAGGAGACACAGAAAGTGTAGGATGTGTTTGGAGAAGCAGGCAGGGCCTGGCTCGAGTTGGATCTGGAGCTGGGGTGGCAGACACAGGCAAGTGCCACACGCTCACTTTTCTGTGTCCATTGCACACACAGTTAACACGGCACAGCCTCCTCTGGAGCTGAACTGAAACCTCAGAATCCACATGCTTGGTAGATTTTACGTCTGTGTAAAAGTGGGGTTCCTGCCCCAGGTGGGTGATTATGGGAGACGATTGTGTCTCTCTCTTCTCCTGCACTTGGTTCATAACCGAGATCACCTCTATAATTTCCTGCTCATGAAGATTATTCTCTTCAGCCACTTGGTGTCAAGGCTGGCCCCTCTACATGTGTAGATGACAACTAAAAAATAAAATTAATAAGTGAAAAGGAGTCCAGATGCTTGGGTGTGGTGTGGGCATGTGAGTCCAGGCTGAAGTGACAGAATGGAAGGTGCTAAGTACTTTAATTGGCATGCTGAGGAGTTTGTGCTCTTTACTATCCTTGAACAGAGCCATAGGCAGCTTTGGAATTCACATAAAGAGAAGTCTGTACCTTGGTGAACAGCAGTTACATACTACAGGGTCTTCCATGGTGCAGCCTGTCTTGGTTCAAGAAAGTGTTTTCAGTGACCCTAGTTTGGTTCTGTTAGGTCAAACCAGACTAAACATAGCTGAGATGTGGAAGCATGCTTGGTACCCCAAAGAATTCCTGGGTCTTCCTTTAGGTAGATAGGAAGTTAAAAAAGTTTTTTTTTTATCCCTATGAAGCCCCTAAAAGGATTTTGCATTAAACCACATACCCTGTCCCAAATTTAAATTGACATGTTTTTTATCATAAGGATGTAACTTCTAACATTACAAACATTGACATTTAAAAATAAAATTGTCACATCACTTTTTTAAATATTAAAATTTTTATGGATTTTAAATACCATAGTGATTTATACTCATTATCATCTTTTTTTTTAAAAAAAATAAAGACGTTTAACTGACTCACGGTTCTATAGGTTCTACAAGCATGACACCAACATCTGTGAAGCTTCTGGGGAGGCCTCAGGGAGCTTTTACTTACGGTGGAAAGCAAAGCGGGAACACCACGTCACTTGGTGGAAAAGGAGCAAGGGGGTAGGGCTGCCACACACTTTTAAACAACCAGATCTTGCAAGAACTCACTCAGCTGTTGCAACGACAGCACCCAGAGGATGGCGCTTAAACCATTCATGAGAAATCCACCCACATGATCCAGTCACCTCCCACCAGGCCTTGTCTCCAACATTGAGGATTACATTTCAACATGGGATTTGGGAGGGGACAGATAAACTATATAATTCCATTCCTGGCTTCCCGCAAACCTCATGCCCTTTTCACGTTACAAATTACAATGATCTCTTATCAGTAGTCCCCCAGAGTGTCACCGCATTCCTCAAAGGCTAAGGCTCATCGGGACAAGGCAAGTCCCTTCCACCTGTGAGCCTGTGAAATCAAAAACAAGTTACTTACTTCCAAGATACAATGGGGGTATAGGCATTGGATAAACTTTCCTATTCCAAAAGGTAGAAATCAGCCAAAAGAAGGGGGCATTGAGCCCTATGCAAGTCTTGAAGCCAGCAGGGCAGTGACTAAATCTTAAACCTCCAGAATAGTCCTTGACTCCATTTGCCACATCCTGGGTGCACTGATGAGGGGTGGGCTCCCAAGGCCTTGGGCAGTTCCACCCTGCAGGGTTCAGCAAATTGGAGTTGAGTGCCTGCAGCTTTTCCAGGCATACAGTGCAAGCTGCTGATAGATCTACCATTCTTGGGTCTGGAAGACAATGGCCCCTTCCCACAGCTCCACTAGGCAGTGCCCCAGTGGGGACTCTGTATGGGCCCTCCAATCTCACATTTCCCCTCCACACTGCCCTAGTAGAGTATCTGTGTGAGGGCTCCATCCCTGCAGCAGGAAAGTTCCAAACTTTCCCTCATCTTCCTGTCTTCTTCTGAGCCCTCCAGACTCTTCTAACATCTGCCCATTACCCCATTGCAAAGCTGCTTCCACATTTTCAGGTATCTTTATAGCAATACCCCACTCCTGGCACCAGTTTTCCATATTAGGTCATTCTTGCATTGCTATAAAGAAACACCAGAGATTGGGTAGTTTATAAAGAAAAGAAGTTTAACTGGCCCACAGTTCTGCAGGCTGTACAAGCACGGTCCTGGCATCTGTGTAGCTTCTTGGGAGCCCTCAGAGAGCTTTTACTTATGGTAGAAGATGAAGTAGGAGCAGGCATATCACATGACAAAAGCAGGAGCAAGAACTAGCATCTAATTTTAAAATACGTGAGTAAGCTGTTTTTTTTTTTTTTTTTTTTTTTTTTTTTAGACAGAGCCTTGCTCTGTTGCCTGGGCTGGACTACAGTGGCACCATCTTAGCTCCCTGCAACCTCAGTCTTCTGGGTTCAAGGGATTCTTCTGCCTCAGCCTCCTGAGTAGCTGGGATTACAGGTGTGCACCACCATGACTGGCTAATGTTTGTATTTTTAGTAGAAATGGGGTTTCACCATGTTGGCCAGGCTGGTCTTGAACTCTTGACCTCAGGTGATCCACCTGCCTCGGCCTCCCGTGGTGCTGGGATTACAGGCGTGAGCCACCACACCCAGCCAGCTTCTTTTTAAAAGCAGTTCAGTATTACATCTTATCCTTTCCCCCTTTAATTTTTGTTTCCATTCTACTTCTCCAAGAACTTTATACTAAGGTGATGCATTTTATGCTTGAAAGTCTAGTGTCAGATTGACCTTTAGTACTTCCCTGCAACAAAAACTATGTGTATTGAAATCTATGAACATATTGTTATTTCCTTGAATAATAAAGCTCTAAGTGCTAGAAAAGTTTTTTTCAAGTTATAATTATTACTAGAGCATAGTTAATGAAAATAAAATATTGTAAATGTTGATATAATTTTAATTTTAGCTTAGTATTTATTGGAAATAGGTTAGATGGGGTTTTTAAAACACATTAGTGCCCACAAACCTTGTTTACATGAGTAAGTAGCTGGGAATGATAGTTTTGTTACAGTATCACTCAGTTATTTGAACTCTTTCCATAATAATGCCAAAAGTATAATTTGTCATCAGACGTGATTTTCCTTAATCAGATGACACTAAAGCAGAGAATCAGAAAGTTTCTGACTTACGGAGTCTTTCTTATCCTGACCTCAGAGCTCGGCACTGTGCCAGCACTAGTGTCAGTGTTTTAAGTTGTCCCCTTGTTTGGTGCCCCTGGGGCAGTGCTGCCGAGTAGCCTTCCAGGTGGGAGTGAAGGATTGGGGGCCGCCTTCGTGAAGTGAGAGGGGGGCAGTGGTGGAAGTAGAAGAAGAGAGGCTGCATCCTCTCACAGGAGTGTGTGCCTTCTCAGGTTGATGAATTGTAGGAAAGAAAACATAGGAAAAAACGTCTTTTGTGTCCCATTTTGCAGATGTGGTCCTATACATCTTATATGCCAGGCCCAGTTCTGGGCTCTGGGAGAGTCAAGGAAACCCAGGCCTCTGTAGGAGCTGGGCTAGTGGTGTGGAGAGGGCTAGCTTGGGAGCTTCGGGCAGGAAGCCAGGCTACACATTGTATTGGTGATTGAATTATGAAAAACTTGCTGTCCTTGCCCTCCAGGGGGTTATCAACTGAGGTCACATGATAAAGCAAAGCAGCCCCCTGCCCCCGCCATCCCCTCCAAAAAAACCCTGCAAGAACTAAAGAACCCTCTGCTAGATCTTGTTATTTAATGTGTTCATAAAGCACTTACATTACTCTGGCATACTTTTTAAATTTTTTTTTTTCCTCAGATGACTCTCTGTTACCCAGGCTATAGTGCAGTGGCGTGATCTTGGCTCACTGCAACCAATACCTCCTGGGTTCAGGCAGTTCTCCTGCCTCAACATCTCTGAGTAGCTGGGACTACCAGTGCGCACCACCATGCCCAGCTACTTTTTAAAAAATTTTTAATAGAGATGAGGTTTCACTATGTTGGCCATGTTGGTCTCAAACTCTTGACTTCAGGTGATCTGCCTACCTCAACCTCCCAAAGTGCTGGGATTATAGGCATAAGCCACTATGCCCAGCCTTTTGTTTGTTTGTTTTTTGACGGAGTCTCGCTCTGTCACTAGGCTGGAGTGCAGTGGCGCGACCTGGGATCACTGCAACCTCTGACTCCCAGGTACAAGTGATTCTCCCTCCTCAGCCTCCCAGGTAGATGGGATTACAGGCACGTGCCACCATGCCCAGGTAATTTTTTGTATTTCTAGTAGAGACAGGGTTTCACCATGTTGGCCAGGATGGTCTCTTGATCTGTCCGCCTTGGCCTCCCAAAGTGCTGGGATTACAGGCATCAGCTGCCGTGCCTGGCCCTTTTAAAATGTTTTAATAAGCCAGGCACGGTGGCTCACGCTTGTAATCCCAGCACTTTCGGAGGCTGAGGCAGATGGATCACCTGAGTTCCGGAGTTTGAGACCAGCCTGACCAGCATAGAGAAACGCCATCTCTACTACAAATACAAAAATAGCTGGGCGTGGTGGCGCACGCCTGTAATCCCAGCTACTCAGGAGGCTGAGGCAGGAGAATCATTTGAACCCGGGAGGCGGAGTTTGCCATGAGCCAAGATGGTACCATTGCACTCTAGCCTGGGCAAAAAGAATGAAACTCCGCTCAAAAAAAAAAAAAAAAGTTTTAATAACTGGATTTCAGTTGAATAATGGTTTCCTTTGTAATCCGACGTTTTATTTCAGGCATATTTTTTTTTTTTTTTTTTTTTTTTTTTTTTTTTTGAGATGGAGTCTTACTCTGTCCCACAGGCTGGAGTGCAGTGGCACGATCTTGGCTCACAGCAACCTCTGCCTCCTGGGTTCAAGCGATTCTCCTGCCTCAGCCTCTTGAGTAGCTGGGATTACAGGCATGCGCCCCAACACCTGGCTAATTTTTGTATTTTTAGTAGAGGCAGCGTTTCACCATGTTGGTCAGGCTGGTGTCAAACGCCTGACCTCATGATTCACCTACCTCGGCCTCCCAAATGCTGGGATTACAAGTGTGAGCCACTGCACCCGGCCATAAACCTTTAGAAGGGGTTAGGCTTTTCTAGACTGCCAAAGGGTCCATGGCACAAAAGAGATGAAGGAACTGTGCACTCAGTGCTGGCCCCTTCCACATACCCCAAATAGATTCCTGAATCCCAGAGGACAGTTTCAATACAGTGGTTTCATGGAAGGACCCTGCATAGAGTTGGTGCTTGGCACAATGTTACTGGCTTGGGACAGCAACACAGGTATTTTAAATGCTGCATTAGACTCTCAGACCCATTATTGTCCCGCATTATCCTAAGGGTGCTGCTATCTCCCTTAATCCTGTTTATAGTCAAGCATCAGGGAATCCACCTGGAACCGCCAGAGGGTGTGGTTTCCAAGGGTCATGGACCTTCCTTGCTCCACCTTACCATATATGAGGGAGGAAACTTTCATTGCCTCCGGACTGTGTTTCAAAACAATGGAGAATGTTCTTGGTTTTATTACTAAGTAATCTTGACCTCTGGCTTTGTAGTTATTGTTTGGTTTGTTTCTTTAACATCTTGACATTCATTATTTTCTTCCTGGTGCTTTCTTAGGCAGTTGATTTTCTACATGCACCAGCTCCCCTGACTGGAAGCTATAGAGCTGCATTTAGATCAGGTTTCTTGCATGCTGCTGGCTTTATCTCGTTTACAGTATCACATTTCTGTTGCCATACACTGTAGAATCTGAGCCTCCCCACAGCTTTTGAACAATTAGTAATTGAACAGGAAGTGTGTTTTTATTACAGTGGCCTTTTGATTTTGATTTTACAATCATACAGTGTTTAGCAGAGAGCAGAGGTGGGCAAGTGGCTCTCTGAAACACATTTTTGACAGAGAGAAGTCTGTTGTTTCAGCCACTTGGCTATTTGTCAGTGGTTCTCAGACTTCCCCCTTGGTGTGGGTTGCCTGGCAACCTGGGGCTGGAGCAATCAAACCGTGGCCAGTGCTTCTCCAGCCTAGATTGTGAGATGATTTATTGGTGGAACTGTAAGTATAGTAAACCAAAGCCTCAGAAATGGACCCTTTTTTCTTTTTAAACCAGGAGTTTATAGAAACCATATCAAGGGGAAAAGAGAGAGAGGGAGAGTATCAGTTGGAGAGTTTGATTGCAAACATTTTAAATAATAAAATTAAGGCCTGTAATGATCTTGTTATTATCTATCCAAATATGTATAAGTTAATATTTTTACTTTGTTGAATTATTAGTTTTTTTCCCCTTAAGTATTTTACTGGAGCACTCAGCATTTTAAAAGTTCATGCTTTTGAACACGAAATTCGAGTGCTTGGGATGCCATCTTCCCATGAAAAACTCGGGCCCAGGGAGTGTTCATGGCTTGCCAGAGGTAAACTGTGAGACCTTCATAGAATCAGGCATAGAACCAGAACCCAGCTCTCCTGGCCTGTGTTACTGGTTTAACGTAGTGAGCACAAAATGCTGATTGCTTTTCTCTCTATTTTTCAAAATCAGCTAAAAAATTCAAAGACCCGTCTATATGGGAAATCCCTGTACCTTCTGCTCCGTTTTGCTGTGAATCTAAAATTGCTCTAAAAAATAAAGTTTATGAAAACATTTTGAAAATGCAGATTCTGTCTTACTATATGCTGTTGTAACAGATGTTTTAGTAGGTCTCCATCTTCATATATGTATACATCTTTTCAACTGAAAATTATCCTATATTGATTTATTTTTCCTATAGGAGTGAGATCTGGCTGGACATAGTGGCTCACGTCCATAATCCCAACTCTTTGGGAGGCTGAGGCAGCAGGATTGCTTGAAATCAAGAGTTCAAGACCAGCCTGGGCAACATAGCGAGAACCCTATCTCTACAAAAAGATATTTTCAAAATTAGCTGGGCATGGTGACACATACCTATAGTCTGACCTACTTGGGAGGCCAAGGCAAGAGGATCATTTGAGCCCAGGAGTTCTATGTTACAGAGAGCTTTGATTACACCACTGTAGCCTAGATGGCAGAGCAAGACTCTGTCTCTTAAAAATAATAATAAAATCTAACACCCCTTTTTGAGGTTTCTCCTTCATAGCATCTCAAATATCACAAATGAGGATGAAGAAGACTCTTACTTCTGGGGACATACTGTGTGGGGGTCAGGGGAGCAGAAGTCTCAGCCTGGGTTAGCAGTTAGTTGAGCATTTCTTTTTGTAAAATTTTAGAGAAATACCTTGGAACTTAAACTCACCTCTGCATGCAGGCCAGTACATCCAGCTGTGTATGTAAATGAGCTATTAGTATGTTTATATTCCTTATATATATATGCAGATCTAATGTGTTTGTGTGTGTAATTTACACACAGCTGTGTTCATGCTCCCCTATTACCAATATTTTCAGCAAGAGTGAGGTATCATGGGAGCCTTATTGTTCCAAACAAAAGCCAGCAGAAGCCAGCAGAGTAGCCTTGTGGTGGGGCCCATTACCAGCCCCTGATCTTGGGACCCTCCCTTGGGGAACTCTCTTGAAAGTGAGAGCCACCCTGCATGGAGTAGGCAGGAGACCAGAGTGCCTGTAATATGGGGAAGAAAACCAAAACAAAACAATGACTACCTGTTAGACAGGGAGCTGCATTATGACTGAGGTTTGGCTTTTATAATTGAAATGCCCCCACCACCCCCACCTTGGACTACATTTCTTAAAGGGATCATTGATTTTTCTTTCTTCTTTGAGATCATTTATTAAATAAACAGAGTCAAATTAGAAACCCAGTCCCATGTGGTGTCGTCTCGAAGGGGAAACAAAATCCAGGAGCCCCCTCCTCTGTCGGGAGCTGACGGAAGGCCCGGGTGCTCATCAGGGTCTCAGTTTCCCTTGTTTGGGAAGTGGGGCAGATCATAACAACTTTGGCATTTGGTCGAGTTCTTCTGGAAGACAGGTTTTACGTAATTTGAAATAACAGGCCGATGTGATTTTATTTTAGGAATATATGGTAACATTGCCAGTGATTCTAACAGCATAGTTATTTTGCCTCCCTAACAGAAAACTTGCAGTGCTTTGGGTGTTTCAGTGTTTTACAAAAAAAGAAGTTGAGATTATTCTAGACCTGTGCTTTCCAGTATGGTAACCACTGGTCTCTTGTGACTACCGAGCATCTGAAATGTGCTGGCCCAAGTATAGATGCACAGTCAGTGTAAAATACCCACTGATTTCAAAGACTGAGTAGGAAGAAAAATAATGTAAAATATTTCGTTAGTAACTTTTATATTAATTACATGTTGAAATGATCATATTTTTTATCTATTGAGTTAAAAAAACATTTAAATTAATTTTACCTGTTTCTTTTTAAAATATAGTTACTAAAAAAGTGAGACCTACTTTGCCAAGGAAAGGTAAACTTTTATTTTTTGAGACAGAGTCTTGCTCTGTCCCCCACGCTGGAGTGCAGTGGCAGGACCTTGGCTCACTGCAACCTCCGCCTCCCGGGTTCAAGCAATTCTCCTGCCCCAGCCTCTCCAGTAGCTGGGACTACAGGCACCCGCCACCACACCCAGCTAATTTTTGTATTTTAGTAGAGATGGGATTTCACTATGTTGGTTAGGATGGTCTCCATCTCTTGACCTCATGATCTGCCCGCCTCGGCCTCCCAAACTGCTGGGATTACAGGCGTGAGCCACCGTGCCCAGCTGGAAAGGTAAACTTTTTAATGACCTACTTATGAGCCACTTTCCAGGGGCATTTATGTGGAGACTCTAGGGTGATATTGTAGGGAGGGAAGGAGCCTTCCATGCCCATTTGGCTTCTGTTGTCAGTGTTGGGTTATTTTTATTTTTATTTTTTTGAGACTGAGTCCCACTCTGTCGCCCAGGCTGGAGTGCAGTGGCACAATCTCAGCTCACAGCAACCTCTTCCTCCCAGGTTCAAATGATTCTCCTGCCTCAGCCTTTTGGGCAGCTGGAATTACAGGTACGTGCCACTACCCCCCGCTAATTTTTGTATTTTTAATAGAGATGGGGTTTCACTGTGTTGGCCAGGCTGGTCTCGAACTCCTGACCTCATGATCCACCCACCTTGGCCTCCCAAAGTGCTGGGATTACAGGCATGAACCACCGCGCCTAGCTGTGTTGGGTTATTTTTAATTTGGGTGTAGCTGTGTGGCCATAATTGGCAAGAGGCATTTGGCTGGCAGAATCTCTACATCTGTTAATGCTGCTGCTTAACTAGCCAGTTCTCATTTGACTTAAAAGCGCATTGATGCATGCTTTCTGATATTCGTCCAGTGGCGGTACTTTTTGTTGGGCCTGCAATAATGAAAGAACTTCAGTGTACTCAGTGTAATTATCTAGACCCAGAGGGACACTGACAGAGATGTATAGCGTAGCTCAGTGGGCTGTGCTAGTGGGCACAATTGCTATTTAAACCACCAACATGAGGTCATTTTCCCATTGGGCATATGGTCTTTGAATGAAAAATGGAGTAACTTCTATTTGATATTTGAGACCTCCTGGGAAGGGTTTTTGGCATGCAGGTGTGTTGACAAAGGAAATCACTGGCTCTACCCTGGGTGCTGAGCTGGCATCATGGAGGCGATGACGTGGTTCTTCTAGTGGGTTTGAACTAAGAACATCTAGTGGTTTTGTCAGTAGTAGTTAGAGAGTTAGAAACATAACAGCGCAGTGAATATATATCAAGAGACATTGAGTCAAACTGGAGAGCAGATGATGAGAGATCAAATAGCCTTGGAGGAAGACTAAGCCCAGTCACCTCCAGATATGTTCATGAACTCAGGGACCAATGGTTGTCAAGCACTTGCTATGTGTTGTCAAGTGCTGTTCTAGGTGCTGGGGATATAATAGTGAACAAAACAAAGGCTCTTCCCTCATATATTCAGTAACGTAGCCTATTTCATGTCATATAATCATATCACATATGGTGATGATAAGAGCTAGGCCTTGAAATGAAGCAGAGTAAGGCTATAGAGAGTGACCGGCATGCAAATTGGAGACGTGTAATTGGAAGATTGCATATTTATTTGCTTAAATTAATAGTGACTAAGGTTAAAATTTTTAGTGGTTTTAGTAATGAATCTTGTATTCGTTTCCTATTGCTATATGACACATTACCCTAAAAAGAAAAATTAGCCCAGTTTGAAACAGTGATGATCATTTATTGTCTTTCACAGTTTCTATGGGACAAGAATTTAGGAGTGGCTTTGCTGTACAGTTCTCACTTGGCTTTCATGTGGTTGCGGTCAAATGATAGGTAGCATTGGAATTATCTTGAAGGTTTCTTCACTGATGAGTCTGGGCTAGGAAGACTTAAGTGGCTGGGGACTAGAATAGCCAGGGATTCTGTAGCTTCTCTTCATCCCTGGCGGTCTCCCCAGCGTGGTGACTTCAGGCAAGCCAGACTGTTTTAATCTGGTGGCTCAGGGCTTCAGAAACACATGTCCAGAGAAGGAGAGCCCAGCAGAAGCTGCACTGCTTTTTATGACATAGTCTCAGAAGTCACCTGGTATCACTTCTGTCACAGTCTGTTCGTCAAGAGAGTCACAAAGGTCTACCCAGGCTCAGGAGGAGGGAACAGAGTGACCCACCTGTCAATGAAGGAGTGTCATTATTGCATTGTAAGAGCATGTGGAATGGAATCTGTATTGGAGTGGCCACTGCTAGAAAATATAGTTTGTCATAAATGTAAATATTTTTGTGGGTGTGTGTGGTTTGATTTGTTAATTTCAGTTGAATGATTTATGGTCCTCATCTGTAATATGAGGGTTTCAACCAGCATAGTTCTCTAAAGCTTTCTTCTAGCTTTATCATTCTCTGATTCCACTGATAGTGCAGGTGTGGCAGGGAGTGTTGAGTTGGCAGCTGCTCAGCTTTTGTAGACATTTCTGGGCACATCATCAGAAGAGTCAGCTGGGGTATTTAGGGGCTGTTGGACTCTCTTGCTGGCCTCACACACTGAAAGACCTGGCACTTCAGTCGCCCTTTGTGTTATGTTTCTATAGCTAATTTTAACTGGGGGCTGCTAGTGGTGGGGTGATGGAATAAAACAATGATTTAAACCAGAAGCTGTCCATTATCATAATACAAACTGAGGAAGGGAGAACAGCCAGGCAGGATTATATTTGACCTGCCTTCCTGAGTGCTTCTTCTCATTCTCTTTGGCCTTTGGAAGATTAGGAAGAACAGGAAAAGAAAGGAAACAGAAAAGAGAACTCTTTGGTATGATTCCTCTGTGTCTGTTAAACAGCTCCCATATTTGATCCTAGAGGGGACTTTTTTTTTTTAGAAACGAACGGATTGTTACTCAGGGGGCTTAGGTTTGGGATCCCGTTGTAATTACCATAGAATCTTCTGGGACTAGCCTGGAGGCAGGTCTTTTTTGTGTGTGCTAAAACTTGGATTTATTTCAAAGACACATATCCAGAGAGGGAGAGCCAAGTGGATGTGGTGTTATTAGATGTTACAGGTATCTAAGACAGTTGACAGAACATAGAACATACCACACATAACAGGATGTCTTTTTGGAAATAGTTCAGTCGTCCTGTTGTCTCTATGTAAGAGCTCAAGAGGTTACCCTGCTTTACTATTGCTCCATTGTTAAGAGAACCGGGGCATAGAAGTTAAAGCTTTGAAGATGGTAGAGGCCTAGACACCCATCTTGCACCCAGGGACACGGTAGTCCTGAGAATAGGCTAGTCACCAGTACAGGGGATGTAGTTATTTAGTGGCAGAACCATGCCAGGTTGTTGGGAAAATTTTCCTCATGGATATCCAGCATATAGTATATAATCTCTGACATGCGCTTTTATTTCAAGAGTTTAAGTTTGTGTATGTGGATATGTAAACTTTCCTTTAAAGTATCACACCCCTTACTCCTCTGAGATGAGTAAGTACAAAAGAGTGTTTTCTGCACTGAGAGTCCAAGCAATTAATCCTATTTTGAAGTCTCATTTACTTCTCCATTCTTCTTTGAAAAAAGAAACATAAATCTAACATTGATTTGAAATTTTGTTTCCATCTTACCAAACATGTATTATGTTCTAGGGAAAACCCTAGGACCAAAAACAATTCCATGCAGCCATCCAACATTATATTGCTTAGTTACAGTTTGCTAGGGACTCTGAAGATTACAGAAGACATGAAATACTCAACTGTTGCTGGAAAGGAATCCGCAGTATGGTGGAAGATCTATAGACCTTTTAATGGCAAAAGTGCTTATTAATTCTAGTTGTAAACAGGAATTGTTGTTTTTCTGAGATGGGAGAGAGAGCAAAGTGGACTCTATGTAGGGATAGAATTTAGACTGGAACATGCTTCGCACAGTGCCTCGTGCTGTGCTCTTTGCAGTATCTTCACTAGAATTAGCACTCAATGAATGTTAGTTGAATTGATGCATTTGGATAAGCAGAAGTGAAGAAGGGACATTCTAGATTGGGTAAGAGAGAAGGGCATTGGTAAAATCCCAGAGAATGGAATCAGGATGGGGTATGGCAGTAATTAGCTTCGCTACATGGTGGTACAGGTGATTGGGAACCCAATTTTGGAAGCTGTTAATTAACTAGCAGACCGATAGTTTGGACGTGCTAGGAATTGTCACAGGTCTTCAAATAAAACGATACATTAATATACAGAATGCCCAGAACTGGAATGTTGTGGGGTGTGGAGACACACTGAGGCCGGGGAGGAGACCAGTGCAGCCACTGGCATGACGTGACCCTCTAGTGGTAGTGCCCCTGCAATAACAGAGGAGCATGCTGAATAGGAAACTCCATGAAGAATGAGTGACTCATGGTGACTGATGGAAGGAGTGGGAACAGGAACAGAGAGCAAGCCAGGCATGTCTTCCAGGAGGACTCTGCTGCAGCTGACAGAAATAGGGCCACAGGGAGCTAAGAGAGGCCAAGCTGGCTTGGTGAGCAAAAGGCTGAGGAGATTTGAGGTGCTAGGCCCATGAGGTTAAGAGAGACATTTTAAACTTTATAAAGTAAAAAAGTTACAGTAAGCTAAGGTTAATTTATTATTAAAGAAAGGAAACATTTTAAATGTTTAGGTTAATTAAGTATGCAGTGTTTATAAGACTGTTGTGGTACACAGCAGAAGTCCCCAACCTTTTTGGTACCAGGGACCAGTTTTGTGGAAGACAGTTTTTCCATGGACTTTGAGGAGGGGTGGTTTCAGGGTCATTCAAGCACGTTACATTTATTCTCCACTTTATTTCTATTATTATTACATTGTAATATGTAATGAAACAGTTATACAACTCCCCTTAATGTAGAATCGGTAGGAGTCCTGAGCTTGTTTTCCTGCGGACAGTCTCATCTGGGGGTGATGGGAAACAGTGACAGATCATCAAGCGTTAGATTCTCATAAGGAGCATGCAACCCAGATCCCTCACATGTGTAGTTCACATTAGAATTTGTGCTGCTACGAGAATCTAATGCTGCTGCTGATCTAACAGGAGGTAGAGCTCAGGCAGTAATTTGAGTCATGGGGAGCAGCTGTAAATACAGATGAAGCTTTCTCACTTGCCTGCAGCTCACTTCCTGCTCTGCGGCCCAGTTCCTAACAGGCAATGAACTGGTAGTGGTCTGTACCCTAGGGACTAGAGACTGACCCTTGTCTTTTTTTTTTTTTTTTTTTTTTTGAGACAGAGTCTCACTCTGTTGCCAGGCTGGAGTATAGTGGCGTGATCATGGCTCACTGCAACCTCCTTCTCCTGGGTTCAAGCGATTCTTCTGCCTCAGCCTCCCAAGTAGCTGGGACTACAGGCGTGCATCACCACGCCCAGCTGATTTTTGTATTTTTAGTAGAGACGGGGTTTCACCATGTTGGCCAGGATGGTCTCAATCTCTTGACCTTGGGCTCTGCCCGCCTCGGCCTCCCAAAATGCTGGGATTACAGGTGTGAGCCACTGCACCTGGCCATTCAATTTCCTATCTTAAGGTATATGTGGAAAGAAGTTTTACTTGTCCCAATAGTAACATAAGGGTAATAGGGCTGCATCTTAACCTACGCAGTGTAGCACTGGGTCTCCCTGTGGCATGTATGGACTTTCATGGCATGAGTTAATACACAGAAGTACTTAGCAGCTCATACTCTATTACTATTGGCATGGCTTTTGTTGTTAGAACTGGACTTGCATTCTGGCCCTGATGATGATTAGGTGTGGGATGGGCCAGGATATTTAATTTACCTAACCTTTAGTTTCTTTATCTGTAGAATGAGTCCAGTGACACTTACCTTGAAGAGTGTATTGTGGCAATTATCATACTTGGGCCACTACCACTACCAATTCCACTCTGTACAGAAGCCTGAAGGCTTTGGGGAACTCAAGAAACACTGAAATATCTCAGTCAGTTGTCTGGGTTCATGAGTTGCCGCTTTGGGGAAGATGTGACTGATGGGCTGTCAGTGTCCACGTTGGGATGGTGATGTCCTAAAACCATGGAGGACATTAGTCTGAATAGAAAGTGCAGGTGCAAGTCTGAGCTAGGGTGAAATGTCAGATCTAGAGAGAGATTTGAGAATCATCAACAAAAACGGGATGATTATTTTAAATTATCCTATTTTCTGCCTTTAAACTCTAACTAGTTTTATTACACTATTAACTAGCTCTCCTGGAATAATACTAGTAAGTACAAAGCGTTTTTAAAGTGGAGGCAGAAATCGGGAGCAGCATACACTGGAAATCTTGGAAATGCCCATCACGGCTTGCTGGCAGGTCTCCTCCCAGGCAAATTGGTTCTGTTACTATTTATTGAAAAAGTAGTGCCTTACTCAAGTCACCCTTTCATTAAAATGTTAAATATGTAAAATCAAAACGAAATGATACATCTCAAAGCAGTATCAACAGTAAAGCTGCAGAAGGGAATGTGTTGTAGATATGGGGTGACAGGGATCTGTAAGAAACAGGATGATATGGAGGAAGTATAGTTCTCGTCCAGTGCTTTCTCAGTGAGAGCCAGCCTCATGTAATGCAAATGTTTGGAAAGGCTTTTATTTCTTCTGCCTGGCATCTGTGTTCCCTTTTTTCACCCTACCCCTCCTTACCATTTAACATTTAGGACCTGCCTTTTCTCCTGCTACTCTGTGTCTTCAAGGGAGCTGTGGGTCTGTTCCTCTTCCTCATTGCCTCTGTGTCTCCTGGGGGAGCTATAGTTTGCTTACTTGCCAATCTGTCTGTTTTTCTATCCTCTGTGAACCAAGAAGTTATTAACATAAAATTTTGTGCAGAAAACAGGGTAAAACAGAAGGAGCCATTTTCACAGTGGGAATCATTTTAATACCTACAGTGTTTTCCAAACAGTTATGTAAGAGGACTGAGTAGACGTCGCTTTTCAGAAGTCATGGTGAGTTTCTGACTGTGATGCACTAGTTAAAATTCACCAGAGGGAGTTAATTTTGAAAGCTCTCAGCCAGGGGTTAATGCAGAGGTATCTTTTAGCCATTTTTGTAGCTTAGTCCCTGTCTCCTGCTTTCTTGCTACTACAGACAGGGGTCAGGTCCAGCACCAGGGATGGCACCAGAATGAGATGTGCTGGGAGCTTCACGTGTGGATGAGGGGGCATTCACACACCTCACCCTCTGA